AATCTTCCCCCTTAGCGTCGGACAAGATCTATTGAAATTTAATACTTTCATATGTTCCATCTTCAAGTGTTTGTTTCTCAAGTTCCAAGTGGCCGGCTTGTTTTTTCGCACAGAAATGGATACATGCATTGTCAAAATATGTTGTTTCTGTGGTGTTTTGAGACATTTCTCTTCCCAGACCGGGACGCGTGTCTTCTATACATGTCCATAATTGTTTGCCTTTTATGTTTCTATTCTTTTTTTCGTTTCTCAAACCTTGTTGTTTTTTTTTTTTGCCTGCATCGCTCGGGTCAATACGGCTTTGTTTAGTCACTGATTATTTACATGGGCACACCGGAAGCACCGCATGGATGGAGTATTTCAATTATGTGAAATATGTGACCACTTCCTAAAGCAAAAGTGTTTTTTTTTTAAAGAGAGGTGATTTATTGCATAACAAGCAAGGCCCAATTAGGGGTCAATTTTATAGGTTTTTCGAGTGAGTTCTATTAAATCAAATAAAAGCTGAAAATCGGTCGTTTTTGTTTGAATAGGATTTGGGTTCAACTATACCTGTTGAAACGTTTCAAAGGATACAATATGGAATTTTCAGAACATCTTAAATATGATACCATCTTCCAATGATTTACAACGATAGCACTTCTAACCTATCTACATGCCTTCCTTAAGTACCGTAGTGGAAATGTTATGACACTAACTTTATGACACTTTCCAGTTACTTTCCATCTCACAATCACCAAAAATTGGTCCTGCATCTTCCGTGCCCTTACGTCATAAATTAGGAAAATGATACGCGTATCAGTTCACATGTGTCATTTAAAGCACCATTATCGATTTTATGAGCGAGTATCAGTAATAAAGACCATCTAAAGTCATTTTATCACCGCTGGTGCACTGCACCACATCGATATGTATGCCAAAGTCTTTGGTCGGTGACCAATGTTCCCTTTTTATGACAGTTTAAAGAGCGCAATCTTCCGTCAATGACAGTGAACTTTGCTGAACGTGCTAACGCAAGGGTACCGCTCAAAACCCCCGGTACAAGCTGATACATTCATGTAATTCAAGCAGAAAATTATGAAATCTGTTCTTCAGGGTCATAAATCTTGCGACTTTGCTACAAACCATGAAGAGCAGCTCATCTGATACGGAAAACACTTGTTATGCGCTAAATTTCACTGGTTCTTGTCCGTTTTTTTGTGGTTTTCCTTTTTTATAACAAAACTGAAAACTACGATGCTTTCGTAGATCGGTCGTATGTTTGGTATGTTTACAGGGTCATAAACAACGTATCTAAAAAATGGGATGAAATCGGACTCTTTCGAATAGCGCACTAGGCACCACTTTCAAAGAGGAAGCAAAAAACACGGCCTGACACGGGAGAAAGTGTGAGAAAGCTACTACAACGTTGTCAAATAATTTGTGGAATAATTAGGTTCCAGGGATTGCCATCGATTTGATAAATTGCACTTGTTTTGGATGAATCCCCGAAGGATTAGTCGGGTCGGGTACGTTTGTTACGTAACCAAGAGATGATAAATTGGAGTTAATCGACTGGGTAATTACGAGCATGGGAACTATGGAAGCAGGTCTACTGGCTTTGGTAGAAAAATTAGGATCGTGTTACAGTGGATTTGATTTAGGATTCTAGTTAGACATAAGAGTGCTTGAAACATCTGATGAAATCAATCTCATAATCTGATAAAATGTCAATGAAGTGATCTGGCAACATTTTGAAAAAAAAGTTCGTTGTCATGTGCGTGAAGCTGGCGTTGACATGGTTTTTTGGCATGCTAATAATTCTAAGTAACCATCAAGCTCACTAATACAAAAAGTGCAATATAATGCTGATATAAGGCAAATAAAGAAATTTTAAAACTTATATTTCAAAACATGTACCAGGCTATTAACGGGCTTGGTGGGCGGCAGCTTTTGGGCTGTTAATAAAAAAACGTATACACTTTAAGGGGGGTTGGTAAGTGTCGACTTTGATGCTGGTAAACCGTAGATGTCCATGCAAAACTGCTCGTAACTACTAATTCGTAGTGCCAACATCGAAATTTATAAGGCTGGTTGACATCTAGCTGTTTCAGAAAGACTGCTGATTTTTAGTTAGGACGTCAGCCAGTCAGAAAACACCCAATTAAAAATACACCAACGAGAAAACCCCAAATGTTGAGGTGCAGGTTTGTTTATTGTATTAGATGCTATGTTTATGGCTTCCTTTATCGAATTTTGTACAGAAAATTTCCCGATATGACTAAGATTGGTGATTTTGCCATCCAAAGGGTAAAACGACGATAAGAATCTATGGTGAATGTGCATTGAATCTTTTGAATGGTTACGCGTGAAATACAAATAAATATTCCCTCCTTCATATGAAACCACTATCAAAAATAGTAAAGCTGTCATAGCGAGTTGGTGACTGACTGGGACATCCCGGATTACCATTCCTATAAAAATTTCCAGTAATCACATTTCACGGGAAACAGCTGTTTTTTTTTAAACAAGGCATGATCAACGTACATTTTTACTTAAAATAGACTAAGCAATTTTGAGGAAACATGATTTATATTTTCTGGGAAAATCAATATTTTCCGGAAAATCTAGAAATAACAAAAATAAAAAATTAAAAAAATACAATTATTCTAACTATTTCTATGCTTTCAGGAATTATTTGTATGTATCATAATCAAACAAATTATGTATGATAATCAAACAAATTAACAAATTAACAATTGCCTAAGGCTAAAAATCTCTAAAATAAAGAAGAAAAAACAAATTAACAATTAACAAAATTAACAATAATGGCCAAGCTCACATACATCATGATCGAACGTGTTTTTGGACCCTATTCTTTTACAATACTGGAAAGTCATATTGAACTTCTGTGCAAATTTTCAGGGTGCTTCAAGTTAATTTTATGTTTTTAAGGTAATTTACGCCTTATAATATTTGTATCTCGAGACTGAAACAACGAAAACTGCTGTAACAATTTTCATAGCAAAGCTTAATGTGTTATCTACCAACTTTGTAACCAAAGGTTGACTATTGAAAGTGATTTTATTGAAGTTTGACTTAGTTTCATGCTCGAAGATATCTTAAAAAGTGAAGAATTTTAAAGTATTTGTTCTACGAACTTTCCACCCATATGATATAAAAAAAAATTAAGTTACGGCATAATGTTCCTTATACTGTTCTAAAAATTTCGTTCAAACATAGTTTTCGTGTATATTCCATAGATAGGGAGATAAAAATCAGAAAAGAGACAATTATAGCTAAAATTCACAATAAAAGTTTCAATTAGATTGACAGAACATAGTTGCATTGCTTTTGACGACCGATGACTGTTTCATTGATAGAAGTTTTTTTTTTTTTGAAATATGTATCCTCAGAAGACGTGTTTTTTTTTTATCAAAGGCAAGTGTCACTCGAGCCATAACAGCAATTTATAAAATAACGAACATTTTGGATGGCTCGAGTGACACTTGCCTTTGATAAAAAAAAACATGTCTACTGAGGATTCATATTTCTAAAAAAATCATCTATCAATGAAACAGTCATCGGTCGACAGATAAAAAGTCGAATTTTACGTCGAATTTAAAAACCTTCGGTTGAAATCTTCAAATAGCCTTAAATTTTAAATAACTAAACTAAATAAATAAGCTCACAGGAAATGTCAAAATGAGATCTCTGTAAAAAAAAATGAAATTTAATACAAATATTTCGAGAATAGAATGTTTTTATTTTATGTTTTATTTCAACGCAGTTTATTTTACGCATTCAACCACGTCAACAAGAATCTATACTAAGTACCAAATTTCTATATAGCAGGAAACATAATGTTTACTATTAGGAAATTTCAGACTTTACTAAATTTATTAAAAAGCCATTGACATGTGAGGTTTATCGCTTTGAGTTACATGAATAGTATTCTTAATTAATTCTTAATTATAATTCTCTGTACCATTTTTTAAGTATTCAGTTCATAAAAAAGTAATATTCACGTGGAATAACTTCGGCAAATAACTTTATCCAACTGTAACAATTTTCTTTGGAACCTACCATTGTGAGATGCTGAATAATCCGCACTAGAACTGCCTTCACTCTAATTTGCAACACAATATCGTATCCACCGTATCCACGAAGTTTACAAACCAACTAACGTGCCTCGACTGCACTCCCTACCTAAAAGTGGCTACGATTGGAAGAAACGCGACTTCACCTGAGTTTGAGGTGTGTATGACTTTGCATATAGAGCATCGCTCTGCGCGTTTGAGTAAACAATTTTATCTCGAATTTGTTGCAGTCAAATGTGGTTTACTGTTTTGTTTTATGTATCCATTTATGGGTCGATTATATACACTAACACTACTGTCTGAGGCTGTCTTATCAATGCGCTAGCGGGCTTGCTCATAAAATGCACCTGTCGGTTTTGTAGATACCATAAGTTCAAGTCGACTAGTTCTACCTACAGATAAGCTAGCACCTCGTTGAAACGCGCCAGACTAGATGGATTCTTTTCAAGGACCACAGACCGGCGGCAGAGTGTGCTAATGCTAATCTCACGTTTCACGATAAGGAGGGCTTCCCCATACTTTCTTACACATGCAGATAAGAGACGATAGTCAGGAGAGTCCACCGTCTCGTGATTGTTTGGCTTTTTGAAACCACGTCACCAACGACGTCGGGGGTTGATATTTTCAATTCAGAACCGATTGCTGATATCCCGTTATCGCCCCAGTTCGAACTGGCTCGCATTGGCCCCCTGAAACCACTATCGCTCCAAGTAATTGGTCCTACCCCTACTAGTTGTGGGGCGTTGTATTCTACCAGTTCAGTATTATCATAACGTTGGCCAGATAACACAATCACTTGAATAACTCTCAATGATAACGAAGTCTATTAATATGCACGCACACTTTATTTCGAATGAATTACTCCGTCGGTGCAATATGCAATTATACAAATTGAAGTCGACTTAACAAAATAGTTCTTACCAGACATTCTGAAAACGCTGCAGTCCACGTTGACACGTCACAGGCACGTTATCAAGATTCGCAATATTCGACCACAACAAACACCCGTGTTCACGTAAAATGGCTTAGGTTGACGACAAACGGCGATAAAACTTATCAGCAAATTTTACATAGAAGGCAATCCTGGAACTTTGCACCGGGTACAACTGGCACTATGCTCAACGCTCGGCGATATTTGTTATCAATATATAAAAGATAAATAAACACGTTTTCTTCACCACAAACGATTTTGATAAAAAGCAGAAATTTGTAATCAGTCTCAGCCACCGCCACATAAACGTATAATAGGCAGAGCGGACATTCGAAAGCTCCTAGGCGTTCAGTGATTGTTCAATTCCGGACTGATCAACACCGTAATCACCGGTTTGCGCTCAGGGACTCACGTCGCGTCGATCGTACTCACTATACAACTGACATGGAAAGTAGCAAACTCGTACGGCCGTATAGGGCCCAGCAAAATAAGTCGCGTCGTTGGTGGCTTAGCTTGGTGAACACTTTAATGTCCGTGCAACTACACAGTGTATAGCGCGAGTGAGTGATTTGCCACAATTTGTTGAGCGCCATCTAACGCGATGCAACGGCGAAAATCAAACAACCAGTGCCCCTTCTAGAGCAGCATGTTGTGATTCGAATTGTTCTACATATTCTATTATTATAGCACATGGTGAAGCCGCCAGACGGGAAGCAGGGGTGAGGCGACGCATATATGCGTCCACGTATCAACCACGTTGCTGGGTGCTGAGCTGAGCCACTGAGTTCAAATCAACATCAACAGACTCTGCTGATGGAAGTGTATTTTTAACCTCTACGCTCAGTATGGGCAGGAGTAAGACGTAAGTATTTCAAAAACAAAATGGCGCCGGTTCAAATAAGCCATCAAGAAAAGCGAGACGTATGTGTGTACATAATCAGTTGCCACATATTTACTTTTGTCCTACCGACAACGGTCGAACAAACAAATCTTAAACAGTCTGAACATTCTGCGTTTCATAACCGATTTTGGATTTTTGGAAGCACGACACTCAGTTAAGTACTTTCCGTACCAAAGCTACTTACTTCATTACTATGAGATTATCAGCAATTAATTCATGCATATTGGTTAGAGCCTACACATCGACATAGACACTGCAATTAAGGACCCAACGCCATTACTATTGAATAGAGATCACCAATCCCTTTGAACGTGTTGTATCAATTTACTCAATGGATTCAAAAATGTCTTAAGCATTATCCTCAAATGCAAACCATTAGACCAAACCCCATCAATCCAAAAGCCATTAGGGCAAATTAAGATACTTAATCCTTGCAAAAGTGTGCTACACACTTAGATAGTAGAATTTTCAATTACATACGTACTAAAAATCAGAAACTCGAAGAAATTTATCCGGATCTCAGATGGTCCGTTTGTTTTGTTTTGTTGTTAGTTATTTAGACGATTTTCATAACGCTTTGAAAACGTGTACCAATCAATTAGTTGAGAAAAAGTTGTTTTCTTTCTGATACAAATTGGATCTTTTGTATCTTAAACGGAAAAGGGACAAATGATACAAAAAGTTTTGTAGATCAAATAGTGACAATCATTGGAATAGGTAGTAAATATTCACTATCGATTAAAAAGCTCGTTGTGAATATGTTTATCAAAATATTGAAATCTTCATTAAAACCTAGTAATTGCAAACCGCCGTCTATAACTTTTAATGGCACTTTAGAACAGTCAGAACAAGTAATTGCATCTAAGTTCAATGATTATTTCATTGATTAATCAATCCACTGAATTGGTCGATGAATCGGACGGAAAGAAACATCCGCTTAGTAGTAAATTTGTTGGATATCACCCAATTACATTTGCCGAACGAGTTATTTGCTTTCATGCCATTGGCTACATCTTGCTGGACCTTATTAATTGATCATTGCAGACTGAACATGTACCACTAATTAATAATCAACATGTTGCACACATTAGCGAAAATTTTAGAACTTCTTGTTAAAAGGCAGCTATTGTAGTATTTAAATAGTAATAGTTTGTTGATACCAGAACAATCGGGATATCTTGAAGGTCATTCTTGTGAAACCTTGTTGAACTTGATATTAGCAAAGTAGAAAAATAACTTCGATACGCTCGTATACGGGTAAATACGATTGTGGCTGTTTTTTTGGGTCTAAAACGCACTTTTGAAGCAATTTCTAGGCCCTTATTGTTAAGATCGATCAAGCGCTCTTGAATTACGAATACTGTCTGAGTATTTGTCTGACATGACTCAACGGCCTGTTTTTAATGGATCTGTTTCCAGTCCCGTGGGGAATAACCTTGAAGTGCCCCAGAGAAGTGTATTAGGTCTTCTTTTATTTATTATGTATATTAATGACATACGACGTGTTTTCCGATTTTGCGACATTAATCTTTTTGCAGATGATACTGTGTTATGCATTGCAGCTAAGGATTCAAATCATGCCGCTTTACACTTGAATGAAGAGAACAGCAGATGATTGAAGTATAAGCAGTTGAAATTGAATACAAGTAAAACTAAATTCATGATAATTTCGCGAAATCGAGTAAACATCTCTGTTGTAATTAAATATCTTGGTGTGATTATTGATGACAAACTTAAGTTCAACTCTTCTTCACAGTGGTTGTCGATGAAGGAAAGAATTGTATATTTAACTGTGGTGTTCATTTTTAAAGTACTTAACTGTTTGTTGCCTCGATATTTGTGTGATTTGAAATAGGAAGCGATTTTCATAGATATAATACTAGAAACACGAATGAAATAAGAACACCAAATTTCTGGACCTGTGCTGGACAAAATTCATTATATTTTAAAGGAATAAATATTTAATGCAATACTTACAGAATTTAAAAGACAGTGTATTTCATTTGTCTTTTGAACAAATTATGTATCTTGACGAAGTTTGTAACGGATCATTTTGTATGAATAGCTGTCATATTCACTTTTTTAATAATTATTGTAACACTGCAAAAACTATTTTGTTCGCCACGATGGTGATGATGGATTTTCAATATTTGATATAATAGTAAGAATTTAAAAAAAAATGGAGTAGTCTACAAAGGTTTGAGCGTTGCGTGCGTATTAGAGGACTGTGTAGTATGATGCTATGTTGATTATTCATGAACATTCATGATTTTTTAGGCAAACATTTTTTTTTTTTTGATAAATCAGACATAGACAACAAGAGAAACAAACAGTTATAGAGCAAATTACAGAGTTATAACATGTTATAGCGCTAGCTTGATGGTGTTTTCTGTGTTGCAATTATTTGACAACCGTTATAATATGTTATAACTCTCAAGTCTGAACAAGGCATAAGATGGAGCAGTTATGTATTGCACATAATTAATCGTAAGCATCCTTCATGAAAAAAAAAACTTCACCAGTTTTTCATGAAATTAATTACCGATGTGTTCACTGAAGTGATAGCCAACGGCCAGTATCCAGACTAGTTGAAACAAACAATGGTAGTCCATATCATTAAGTTAGGATAGTGGGGTATTTTTCCGTTCAAAAATATTAAACCACTCCAACTTGTCAAAAACGCTGTTTTATTATATTATATCTATATATAATATAATGATTTAAGGTCAAACAGCCCAAGTAACATTTTAAGTTTTATGAAATACTACAAAGCTACTATAAAACAACATTCATAAAACCCTGGTCAAGACTGCTTTGCCATTGATGCATCCACCAAAACCTCATTGATGCTAGAATCTGTCTAGTTGGCCCACTCTGGAAAAGGTTCTGAAGGGTATATTTTCGAAGCCCTTCAAGATTGATTTACTGCAAAATGGTTGTACGATAAACGCATTGAGATCCATTTCAAACCCGTATTTAAGCTACAATAAAAGCTATTTGACAACAATTAAAACCATTATCCGAACAATTTACCCTAGCTGCTTGCTAAGTTCACTAGAAAAACAACAATCAAGATAAAAAAGGATTCATAAATACCATCCGATCTTACCAAAATAATTAAAATAAAAACTGATCATATAAAAATCCTGCCGAATTTCAAAAATTATAAAATAGTTCTCATTAAGTGGCCTAGTTTTATAGTACGTTCAGACTACAGAGTTATAACATGTTATAGCGCTATCTTGATGGTGGTTTCTGTGTTGCAATTAGTTGACAACCGTTATAACATGTTATAACTGCTCAGTCTGGCCAGCGTTTTAGGTGCCATATAAAATTTGATGTGAAATGTACGTGAAAACATCGAAAAACTTGAGTCCGCCCACGGAAAAAATCAATTTTACTATTTATTTAACATTAAGAAAAAAATATATTCTTCAGATCGATCATTAAGCTTAGCCGAGATTTTTGTTTCTCATGATTTTTGCATTCTAAATATTTCCTCATTGCTAAATTAACTAAAATAAAGTTATATCCAAGGAAATATAGATTTAAAATCGAAGATTGTAAAAAAACAAAAACAAAATAATTGTAATATGGCGGAGGCATTAAAAGCTGATTTTCATGGGCCATTTGTGAAAAAGTTATTTTGCTTTCAAGAAATCCTTAACAAATTCATAAGGTTTTGAAATGGCTTTTATGAAGAAAACTTGTGGACTGAATTGTATTTATCTAAAGCCATTTTCCTTGATTCTAACCCGTTCAGATTTATGGCAGCATTTATGGCGGCAATGTTGCCTACAAAATGTTAAACGTCAAAGTTTGTTTATCTTTCGATAGTTACGCTGTGCGATTCAGCGTTCTTCCAGGCGATTCTCTCCCGATGGCTTGGAAGCAGTTACTCAGAAAGTGTTCACAACATTTCGCATTTCGCACAGCTGTAACCTCGATCATTCCCGAAAAGATCCCCTTCTTCCGGATGGTTCTGGAAGTGCACCATCAAACGATGCAGGAATGAACGTTTGAATGAATTTTTTTCCAAGTAATGACCCTTTCACCGAATAAAATCGCGGCTATGGATCGGAAATCAACTAGTGTCCGCTAACTGACAGTTTCAGTGGTTTGCTGTCGGTACTGACGCAAGTTATTCCGATCTTCATCTATTCGCAAGGTCTGGAGAAGGCTGGTCTGTTTTCAGACTGTTTTGACAATGCTTTATGCATTTGAGGACCACGCTCATTTCACTCTTCTCCACCAGATGCTCAGTCGTTGATGGTACCCGTTTTGCCGGACGTTACTGAAATCGACTTCCCTTCGGTCGTTAGCATCGCTTGAAATTTTTCTCCAACCTCCTTTATCCTTCGAGTTATCCTTGTCATAAATTTGGTTTTTATTCACTATGAGGATCCATCCTTAAGGTTCAATTTGTAAACAGAGGAGATTTTATCATACACTTTTAAAAGCCTAAAAGGCAATAATATATGCATTTTACTCTCATTTAAAACCGAATGGTTTTATGATTGCTTTTTATAATGATAGAACAGGTTTATAGAGTATTTTATCAAGACTTTAATAAAAAATTGCTAATGAAGTTTATGATTGATTTTTAGAACAGTTTCATGGTGGGATTGAGAACTACTTTAAATTTAATTTTAAAACAAGACAGTTTTTGACTTCTCAGGTTTTTAAAACAGTGAAAAGGTGAACTACTAAGCATGAACGTTTTACACTGTGAAATTTTGTATTTAAACTAAATGGATTATTCATTGCCATTATAAAACCACCATAAATCAGAGTGGATGCCAAATGACTTCAGAATTGTTACTTGGGAGGGGTTGGGTCATGTTTTCGGAAGGAGGGTCTCTTTCTGAAAAAGTTTATTTTTTCGATAATTTGTACACTGAAAAGTGATTTTCTGATTAAGTTGCCGTAAAAAAACGAAGTGTTAAGAAAAGTGTAAATAGAAAAAAATTAACAATGTACACTGAAAGAAAAACACTCGTAACAATTGAAAATATATTTATATGAATATTTTAAGCTTAACTTTGCTCTAAAAGCACTGTTTGTTTCTGTTTTTTTTATACTAAAGATAACTTTTCATGATTTTCTACAACTTTGTGTTTGGCCTAGAGCCAGGAATTTTACATAAAAAATACTTTTATCACAATTATTTCAAAATTATGTTTTCCCTCTTTAACTATTATTTTTTACAAATACTTCTTTTTCCAGTGCATTTCTACCTATAAATGGTAAAAAGTTCAATTGAAATTTAACTGCATCTCAATACAGAAATTTGTTAACGTGATTAAAGTTTTACTAAAAAAATGTTTTGACGGCAATCCCCCTCCTCTAAATACAAGGCTTGCCCTTTTTCATACAAATCTTCACATTTTTTTTTACTTTAAGTTGCTAAGAGTACGCATCGGTACTTTTTGAAGCCTTCGTGTGCAGCCAGAAAGTTATGTTGGAACTTTATATGAGCTTAATAGAGCTTAAAAGCGGATTTTATCGTAGAATACGTAACATTAGGTTGCTATCTCAGTTTGCTCAAATAAACTTAAGCAATAGTGCAAAGGCTTAAATCACGTGTATTTCAGCATTACAAGTGCTCATAAGCTCTTATACAGCACTACTAATGTCATGAAGCCTTCAATGGGAATTGCTAATAGCTTACAGCGTTTTACAAACTATGGGTCACGGGCTGCTCTTAGGTGAGTCGCAGAAATTCAGATAAATTGGTAATGTTTTTAAAAAATTGTGCAAAATTTATCGGATAGTATAATTTTGTGTTTGTTAAAACCTATTAGTTCTTTTTTTATAATGAAGTTAAAATGGATTGAATTGAGGCTAATTTGTTTTAATTATATTTAGTTGTTTTGATACTAGTCACATATTTCTATGACTTTATTAGGGCCGTTTTTGAACTGAGTTCACATTGTGCATTTCGCTCCAAAGTAGACTCCTGCGCTAAAAACTCATGTTCAATTTTGTATGGCTGTTTGATAATATCATTATAAAACAATAAATCATTTTTTTAATTTGATTTTGAGAGAGCGCCTGATGAAACTATTTCATCTCCATCCAAATTTATCTTAAAACAAAAAGCTTTGAATTAAAACTAAATAATTTCATTTAGTGACCTAATGGCTTCTAATAAATCAATGGCAAAATCATTAAAAACTTATCTATGTCATGTCAAAATTGATGATTTTGACAAATTTATTCACATGAGTAGGAAGATGAGGAGGAAAAACTGCTCGTCTCCTTCTGTTTCTGAAAATGCCTTCATTTTTTCAAACTATTTTCTTGATAAGCTTCGTCCCGCACAGTGGAATTTCTTTGCGCAATCAATGCGCTTTCCGCAGTTTGCTCGGAGCCGGTTTCTCTTCCTGAGACAATTTTGCCACGCGACTTGTTTTGGTCACATTAAAAAAATCTCCCATCGCCGAGGCGCAAATTTAAGGCAAGTTTCAATCGTTTTTCAATAGTTTGTACTCACAGCCTCAGCCTTTAAATAGTAAAAACGTGTCACCTAATCTTAAGAAAACTCTAAATTGCTACTGAGAAACACTCAAAGCACACCAAAACTGTTCAGAATTGTTGTTCTGGAACCGCACGGATCTGTCAAACTGATAAAACCATTTTGCTTTTAAACAAGCTGTTGTAAACCCAAAAGCCCATCTATAAAGTCGTTTAGCCTAGAATTGAATTATTTATTGCCGCGGTAGGAGCATATAGGACCGTTGAAGGATCGAAGAAACGTAAACAGCTTTATGTGACGATTCTTAACCGCAAAACATATATGCAGCCATGTTGCCTGTCATATCTACAAATATTCTGGAAATCTGGTATTCACAGTTAACTTTAGGCATATAAACCACTTAAAAACAGTAAGTTTTGTAATGCCATTAAAGTTTACTATTTATACCATACTCTCAGTAATCAAGTTTTCAAATCATTTAGAATAAATCTTCTCTTTCATTTTATTTAATTCAACCAAAAAGCGTTTCTGCTAACTTTTAATATTTTAAATTTTAAAACAGTTTTAAAAAGGTTTGAAGGACATAGAAGAAAGCAAATAATAAAATTCAAATGCTCTTATGACGGTTTTAAACTCTGGTTCTGGAAGCGTAATATAGTGTGGGCCATCCTGGATGCAATGCAGTTGTATGATTATATACTCTATTTAATGATATATCAGTCAAGTAATCTGACCTACAGTATATGCACGGGGCCCTACGTACGGAAACCACCTAAATGTCATCAGCATGACTTAAGCAACAATCTACGTTCGTCTTCCATGAGATGGTTGTAATCACAGCATAAACCAAAACGTTCTTATTTTGTAGGTTTCCATATATGCCTCAATTTATGCGAAATTGGTCAATGCACATCATGATATATTGAACCTACATAGACCCTTCTATTTCAAGTTTAACCCTGCACCCAATTTTTAGTTACTACCTCTAAAATAAGATCAACCCCCATTAAGCACACTCATCTTCACTGATTAGATAAAAACACATTGTGCAAATCGTTCTGATAATAGCAATAATTTTGTTTTACAGTATCAGCATTGAAACGAAGCTACAAGTCCTACGTATCAGTCGTTGACTGTTCGTGAACAAGTAAGGAGCAACTGTAAATTTAAAATTGTTCAATTAAACCATGGCAACCCCACATTGCGTAATTGCTAGGAAGACTAGAAAAGAAGATCTAGGTGCTGTTTTAGAAATGATACAGGTACTCTGAAGTATTCTTCTCCAAATTATCGTCATTTTGAAACTTTTTTCTATCCACTTTACTCAAGGAACTGGCAGACTTTGAAAAAATGTCCGATGGACCGCAGCTGACGGTAGAAGACTTGATCCGGGATGGAGGATTCGACGAAGATCAATCAACAAAGACGCCAGTATTTCATAGCTTTGTGCTCGAACTCACGGACCCGGTCCAGACTGGGGAAAATGAAGAAATTCGAACGTCATCTACGTCTGGCAGTGACCTTTCGACCCGGTAAGACAGTATTTACAAACATGTGGAAATCTTCCATGTCTTCTTCAAGCGTTCAGGCAGTGAACAGTAATGATCCATTTGTGCCTGATGATGGAGAGCACAAAAAATGCTGATAACAGCGGCTTCGAAGCGGCATTAATTTCTTGTTATTCAACAGTCAACCGGTGAATGGTGTTCGCTTTCTTAACTTTCATTTCGATTTCTTTTCTCATTAATAAGGGTAGATTTTTATAAGTTGAACAATTTTTAAACTTTTGTTTTTGATGAAGACTGTATTTCCGTTCATGTTCAGTTTAGTATTCATATAAATTATTCGAGAAGATTGACTTATCTCAAATTAAAATAGATCTTAATAAATGGACTGCTTTGCTCCTGATCATAGATTTTTTTCAAGACTTAAATAACTGCAATACACAAAACCACCATCAAGAAAGCGCTATAACATGTTATAACTCTGTAGTCTCAGCGTACTATTATACCCCGTTCCCACTACAACCTATATTACGTGATATAGCCTATCTTGATATAAGAATTCTAGCTGGTTAGGAGCTGAAAAAGCCATTTTTTAGGTGAACAATTATATTTTTGCTTGAATAAGCCCTTATTCAGTTATCAATGTTTGCTGGGATAGCTGCAAAGTTGCTTAAGTAGACAAAGTCTTTTGTAAAGGCTTTTAGTAAAGAGCCTTTACACCTACAAAGTTTCATTGATAGTTAGAAGTACTGCCAACCGCGTAGACAGTTTAGGATAAAATTCTATCGCCGCTACTGTTCCCCATCGTTATCGACAAGATCATTCCTCTAGGCTTTTTACGCTAATTTTTCAAGCATTTTTGCAGTCTCTCAACAGTGTTCTAGATTAGAAATACTCAGAAAGAGATATGGGCGAAGAAAACAAAATTCAATTCAGCAGCAGGGATTTGTACCTAAATTATCTTGCAACCCTTACTAGAAGCTAGCATTTAACATGACTTTTATTGTTGATTCGATTTACGTGTAAAATAATAATTGAGTGCATCGCACATTTCTTGGTGCCATTAATTAACCAACTGAGATCAATTAATCAATAGAGTTAGAATATTGTTTTTGATTTCAAAAACTAGTTGAATTTGAGAAGCACACGAAACATAAAGGTGATTAAATTTCTGTTCGATTACAATACTCTCAAATTTAATGAAGTAAGGGGCCTCATTTAGGTGGTTGATCACAGGAATTTAGAGAGCTGATAAATCTTAACTGGTGCCTCCTTTAGCACAGTCGGTAAAGGTGCAGCTACAAAGCAAGACCATGCTGGAGGTGGCTGGGTTCGATTCCCGGTTCGGTCTAGGAATTTTTCGGGTTGGAAAATTTCTCGACTTCCCTGGGCATAGAAGTATGATTGGACTTGCCACACAATCATATCAATGCAAAAATGGTACAGGCATCGAAAGCTCTCAATTAATAACTGTGGAAGTGCATCTAGAACACTAAGTTGAGAACACGCTAATATCATAGAGGTAACTCTAAGACCACTGGGTCCCGAAGAAAATCATTATTATTTTTGGCTCACTCAGTACCAGAACAACGGTCCCAAGCAGTCCCAAGCTATTTCACTCACCCCTGCATGTTCTGCATGAATCCACACACCCCTGATGTTATCTGTCAAACTTTCATAGCGAATCAAAACAAACATAGTGTAGTAATAGAATTTCAACTAGAATAGGGTACGTTAATCGTTTGCTTGGGACCAATAGGCTACTAAAGTGGTGAGCCAATTTAAAATCGTTAGTTTCGTATATTTGGGGTACGATAATCGATTTGCTTGGGACCAATAGGCTAGTCAAGTAGTGAGCCAATTTTAACTCGTTAGTTTCCAACCGGTGGTAATACCCTGTACAGACTATGGCTTATATCATGTAATATAGGCTGTTTTGCAATAAGCACTCATACATAGGATTTCCAGTGAAAACTAGATGGAAGGAAGGCGTGATCAGAGATGTTATGCCTCAGAACTGGGATTGAACTCAGGCCTGCTGGGGTGAGAGGTAATTAAGCTTACCACTACACCACCGGCGCCGCTGTCCGATCGAGATAAAATTCATTCGGGTAATATGAAATCAAAGCAGGTGATTGAAAAAATTAAAATTAAATTTCGACAATATTTGAATTTTTTTAATAGCTCAAGGATCATTCAATTTTTCCCGTTTGGAAAAAAACAGATTATTAGAATTGATGATTTTCAATTGAAATACTCAATGACACATGTCGCATTCCTAAATGGTTTTCTAAACCATAAGATGAGCAGAATTCAAACAAAATAAAACTTCTATTCGTTCAATTTGTCGAATTTGTCCACTTTTCTGTTTGTACATAACCAACAGCCAGCGTCGTCATATAATGAACCCAGACTAAACCCTGACGCATACAAGGCACGGAAAACCACACAGCTGGTGATAACAAACATTGAACGACTCCAGGGCAACTAATGTGCTCGCTCATACATTCAGCCTAGCTTAGTTGCTTTCTTGAAGAATGCTTATCTTATCACTAAACATATTTAAACGAGCATTATAAAATTCTTATTCTTCTTCACCAGTCTGCCTCTTCAGAAGAACAACCTCTGACCGGACAGGCAATCAAAACAAAATCATTCCCATAATATTCTATGTTTAATTAGGCCCGCAGTTCCTCTCCAGTCAAGCTTATATATTATTTTTCCTTCCTTTCTCCCTCTCTCTATCTTTTCCCAGCACCAAATTGATTGGTTACGCGATCTGCTTCTACTCGTACTCTACGTGGCAAGGCAAGGCGTTCTTCCTGGAGGACATCTACGTTAAGCCGGACTATCGAAGCCATGGCTACGGCAAGCTACTGTTCACCACTCTGGTGCACCATGCGCGGGAAAATGGCTGCTCTCGATTCGACTTCCACGTGCTCGCATGGAACCCGGCGAAAAAGTTCTACCACGGGATGGGAGCAGAGAACCTGACCGAAACCGAAGAATGGGAATTCTTCCGGTTGACTCGAGATAAAATGGACAAACTGTGCGAGAACTCAGTAAAGTAGTTTTGGGAGGCAATTCAACGGCACGGCAAAAATACTATCAACAATCTGAATGCTCACAAAACAAGTATTACAATAAAGAGTGATGCATGATTAGTGAATAATTTAGTTCTAATCTCTATAATGTGCCAGAATACATGTGCCATAATGAAACAAATCAATTAAAAAAATAGACTCACCCGTGAAATTTCTAAAATTTTTTACTTAGCCCACTAACATTTCAGAACCATTCGCTACAGACTGCAGTTATAAGTTATAACATGTTATAAGCAAGGTTGCAAAGACTCATTTCAGCTAAAATAATGTTTTTCGGAATAATAAAACCAAAAGATGGTATGATGGCATGTTTTACTTGTAACTTACAAGAAGAGGTTACAAAGTATGCGTTGGAAACATAAAACCTGTAAATTTTGCTTTCTATGAGTCATAATCAGCGATTTGCTGATCGCTGAGTGAGTGAGTGAGTGAGTGAGTGAGTGAGTGAGTGAGTTTGTGAAAAATCGCTGATTGTGACTCTCATGAAGTGAAATAATCAGGTTTAATATGTCAAACACATTCTTTGCAACCTCTTCTTGTATCCTACCAATTCAAAATTTGATCATGGCATCTAATTATTTCATAATTTAGAAAAACATTGTTTTCGCTGAAATGAATCTTTGCAACCTTGGTTATAAGTCTATCTTGATAACATTTTTCATGTCGTTATAACTTATCGTGATATCATATTATGCTTTCATTATGCAGTCAAGACTTTTTTTAATTAATGCAATTTAGCTTCGAGTTTTTCTGTTGAACATTTTATTTTATTTCAGCTGGTGTTGCAATAACGATTATTGCATGCAAAACAAATTTCAGTTACATCTAATGTAAGGTTGAATTTATTACATCCTCTGCATACGTTTCATACAGCAAATGTAATGTAAGTTCTTGCAATGGACTGCAGTGTAGTTGTTCCAGAATGCATGTTTTTGTATAAAACCTTCACGAGATGATTTTCTAGACGCAATGCATTTGGAGAAACAAACTTTGTTCGAAAAATAAGCTAACATAAAAATTTCAAAATTATTCAAAAAACCTTCCGGCGACCACATTACAGAATCTATTTATGTAGCGAAACATTGCAAATTCTGCATAATTTGCTGGCAAATCTGAAATAGAATCTAATATTTCCCTGTTGGGTGTTTTGATTACCATATTTTAGCTCATTTGTGGCTTGTCAAGAGTTAGATTTGAACTGAGAGCTTTCAGCGTGAGAAACATCGGATGCTAATTATTTACGCAAGACACGTATTCATTTAAATTATATCTAAATTATACTCAGTAATCAAATTGATTTAATTTAGTGCAGGATTAGTTTTCCGTTTGAGTCCCCAATGTATAATTTTACTCTTATTTTTGCTTATTTCGTCAACTCAACCAAAATGAGATCATAGTGAGTAATAAAAAAAATCATCATAACAGCAAATTTTGATTTCAATTTGATCCATAGGCGTAGCTAAGGAGGGGAGGGTGCAGGGGGCAACTCAGTCGAAAAATCTTTTTTTTTAGATTTAATGTATCTAGAAAAATGTTTAAATTTTTAGTTCAACTAGCTTTTGTCAGCTTTTTTATGTCTATATTCCACATTTGTTTGAGTTTCCGAATCAGATTGAAGTTGGATTCATTATTTCAGAAAACTCGAAAAAAGCAACAATATTTTTTTTCTTGATAATTACAGACTACGAAAACCTCAGGATTCTTGAAAGACTGAGAATTAATATTCAGATTTTTTAATTTTTTAATATTTTGTTCTTTAAATCCAATTTGTAACTTTGAATTTTTTTTCTCTTCAATGAAACTCCAATGACTCTAAAACTTTCCCAAGAATCTATAACATATTGATATATTATCAAAGATCTTATAATTAGCTTGTTTTTCAACAGTCTGGCACTTCCTCGAGCACTTCAAAGATTGACAATGTTGGCTAGAATTCTAAAGAAATGTTTAGCTCGAGAGATAATTTCAATGGGTTCTTAATAAATATTAGGGAATTTTAAGGAGAACCCTTCCAAGATTCTAAGAAGAATTTTAACAAAGTTCTGTGGAAACGTTTAGCAGTTTTCAAATTTCAAAAGGTTTCTGAAAAATCTTTATAGATAAATCTGAAGAAATTACCAAAAGAATTATAATTAATATAACAAGAGTATTTTATACATAGAATAAACTGAAGTGCGAGGTTTCGTGAGAATACCAAAAATACTGTAGAGTGAATTAAAAAAAACTCAATAGATGGTGAAGGGAATTCCAATTAGAATCTAAATTGTTTCTAGTGTGTCAGAAATTTTACTTGTGAATATTTATTTTTTAATACATCACAATTGGGTGGAAAACAAAATAAAAATGTCGATTTTTGCGACTTTTATGTTAAAATTCATTCCAAGATGGTCTAAAAATAATCATAAGTGTCTAATTTCTTTTATCTAATCCTAACCCATGATTTTGCTAAATGCTAATCGTTTAGAGTTGATTTTATGTACAACATTAAAATGACTATTATTGCAGGGTTATGATGCTTTTATAAGTCTTGGTTATAAAAATTATGTTCGAAATGCTCAACATTTATCGAAGTAGAAAAAATTTAAAATTATATCCGGCTCCGAATTTTAAAAATCTGCCACTGTCAGGTGAAAATAAAATTCAGATATCGAGCAAAACATGAGTTCGTAACGTTAAAAAATCTGTTCTTTGGTTCTTAATTTCTTGCAAGCTTTAGATTCCTTAAACAATTCGTAAAACCAATTTATCGCTTTTCCACCCTGGTTAATTATTAATTCTGGTTTTCTCCTAATGTTATTGAGCATGATTCTCGTCTCCTTTATCAATAATTTGAATTACTTGTTTCTAAAAAAAATCTTAGGACAATTAAAAAAATGTGTGAGGTTTTTTTCAGGGAAATTAAAACCATCCAGGATTGGAAAATCAGAGTATTATCAAAATTAAAACCAACTTAATTTTATTACGAATAGAAAAAAAACTTGAAACTTGAAGACAATCCCTAGAGTTTTGAAAGGTTTTAGCACTCTGAATAAATTATTTATAAATATATTGTATTTTTATACAAATTCATAAAATACATATGACATATGCGGAAGTACCTATGGCTGAAAATTCAGTTTCGGTTAAACAAAGTTCGACCTAGTAATCCATACGGTATAATGGTGTTCAGCTAATCGACGTCTAACCTAATTCTCCATAAAACATTACCCCTTGCAGACAGACTATTTTCAGGAATAATGCAGGGGAGTAAACATTGACTCCAATCCAAACAAGAATTCCAGAAGCATGACTGTCGCTATTCCCGGCCCCGCCCATCTTTACCATAACTAGGGATAGGGAAGGAGATATTGATGTAGTACTTACTTAACGAGAGGCCACCGACTTAGCGACACCGTCATACGTGCTACGGAGTTGGACGGTTGGGTAGGCCGACTATCGAAGGAAAATATTCATTTGTTTAGTGATCATGCATTTTAAGAGCCATGATGGAGATCTTGGGGTTAAATCCATGATTTTCTGCTCAGTAAGCAAAAACGATCCCTCCAGGGTTATCGGGCATCTCTGTAACAAGTCTTCCATTTATTTAATTATTTATTTAGTTAGATATTTATTTAAACATAATTCATATTTATACAATTTTCTTCATTTATTCAAAATTCATGAAGTATAGTTTTTTACAATTAAATTCATAAATGTGTTCACCGCCACTCATTAAGAGTTACACTTGACATACAAAAATCAATGAGTTCCCAATACGTGCAACCAATTCATTAAAATTTGACCCGAATACGCTATCTATTCGTTAAAGTCAGGGGTACGAATCCGAACCGTTCTTTCTTATAAAAGAGTAACCGAAAATAGATTTGAGCAAGACAGTATACTGAAATTGCATGATAAGGAAAAATATGTAGCATTGAATCGTTTTCAGAGAAAGATGATGAGAATTGTCGTTTGAAGCCCAACAAACAATTTGAGTTGATTAGCTAAAGAAGCTTATTTTTGCCTGAATAAGCTCTTATTAAACATTCAATGTTTGTTGGGAGGTCGTTGAATTACTTCGGTAATTTGACGTACTTCCGGCCACGATGACCGTTGAAGTCACACCTATTTGAAGGTTTCTGGAACTTCAGGGGAAACATGTCACAACGCTTTGAACGTCGATTTCTCTTGAATGACCACACAGCCACGGAATCTGACTACACCAACTCATAGAACAAACATTTCTCTGTCAGATGATTTAGTTAGTTTTAGTGGGTTTGTTGTCATTCGTAAGAAACCGACGATCCAAGTCATTGTTTACGTTTCGAGTTAGACCCTTCTGACATGTTTCCCCTGACTTCTACTCGTTTACTTTGACTTGAACCGTGGAAGAGGCGAGAGTGCGAGTAATTAGTACTTAAGTGTACTTATACACACTAAGATTTTGTTTCGGTGTTCGGTAAATTTTACCGAAATCAGAACAGCTGAACATTCGGTAAAACTTGCCTTCATTTTAAAGGCTATTCAATTTTAAAATAATTTCAAACCATGTTCAACCTTGTTTAAATGATCAATGTAGATGTCAATTGTCAATTGAATGTCATTTTAGTTGAGATTTAGTTTCAAAGTACACTGGAGTCGCTTTTTACGCGGGGGATATGTACCGCTTAAAAAAACCGCGTAAAAAAAAACTACCGAGATTTTGATTTTTCACATGTTTAAATATTTTTTATAAATCGGATTTTGATGCCATTCATTATTATAGCATGCTATCCCAAGTAACATTGCAGGTTTTATCGAGGTTTTATAGCATTTTTCAAGTCCAAATCATGATCTACAGAACCCTCATAAAACCAAAATTGTTACTTGGGATGATCCATATTGACATATTTTAAAAATTTCTGTATTTACACCAAAAATTGTGATTTTTTTAAAAGTATGCCATTCGATTACCTATAGTTTAAAACGAATAATGTGATTGGAATCAAGTCGATAGGTCGTAT